CCACACACTAACACGAGACTTTTCAGTGTTCTTTTTTCTCACTCGCACACTTTCCGAGAAAACTTCCCAGGAGGTCACCCATCCTAGAATTGCTTCAAGTCAAGCACGCTTAACTGTGGAGTTCTTCCGATCCGGGCTACCAAAAAGTAGATGCATCTTGTTGGATGACTGTATGAAGCTGAGTAGTTTGGATTATTGTTGGATTATGATTTTATTGCTGTTTTAAGACTTTTATGATCAGAAAATATTTTGGAAACAAATTCTATAAACATTTTGCGAAAATAATTTCTGACATTATATTTAAGTGTTGGTTTTAATTAAACAGTCTTGCGAGCACTTTGCGAGTTATATTTAGTGGGGCTACAGACCTCCGATTCGCTTATATTTTATATTTACGCGAAGCCCCACGTGTCTATTTTCAGATTATATAAACATTACAATGGAATTGATATATATTATTGTAATAAAATCGCCGTTTTTAAATTATTAAAAAATCAGAAAGGAACACAAAATTAAAGCGTGTTACAAATAAAACATGCAGTGCACACCAAAAAAAAAAGGAAGAAGAAGAAGAGTGCATGTACTTTGTATTGGAGGAAGTGGTTCATGAAACTGGACGGGACACGGGGACAGAGAGAATAATGGCCGCAAAGTTGACGCATGGGATGATGCAGCCGAAAGCATATAATAATATCATTTTCAACAATCAAGTGATTCATAATAGTTTATATTATTTATTTCTGAGACATATCAACTCTTATTGTCGCCTAGTGGCATCATATCCCACGCTCAAATGGCAAGCTTCAAACTTTTTCAGTGCTGCAACGTGCTTGGAAGCTTCAAGTGCCCATTAAATCTCTCCTTGGTCGGCACCTCCTTTTTGTAGTTATCTTTCTTTGTTCAAATAAATATGAAAACAAATATCTATGGAAAAATATAATAAATATATGGATTTTATAATTCTCATTTAACATGAGAATTACAATTTTCCTACAAATCCTTCGATTTCCGTGTTGACATGGATCTTACATATAATTTTTTCTAACACATGGGTTCCACATGTTTTTTATCTCTGCAACATGAGATTTCAATTCTCTTTCAACATGAGAATTATAAAAACCTAAATATATATAGAACAACTCTACCAGGTCTTTTAAGGAATATAATATGAAAAAAAAATGAAAGCACACTTTTTGGTTTTTTTTTTTTTTTTTTTATGTTTTACAAAGTTTTTTCATACCTTCTAGGTTGAAAATAATTTAGATGCTAAATATCTTAATATTTTAAAATTCTTTAGCAGTTGAGTTTAAATTTATCATTCACTTAAATAATTTATTAATCTATTTCTAATGTACATAGCAATATATTTAACAATATTTGTCAGTTTATATATCAATTCATTTCTTATCTTTGTTAAGAGAAAATTTTTAATGCACCGGTTCAGATATAGTCGGTGCTCCTTTTTAATAAATAGGAAATTCTTTTTCTCTTTTTACTCATTTTTTTTTGTATTTTTCTTTAAATGTTAAAAAAATTTCCTATTTAAGCACCGACGGTGCATTGAAGTTTTTTCTAGCCAATTACTCACATGTTAGTAATATGAGAGGAAATAGAAAGGTAATGATAAAAGTTACGAATAAAATATTTCCAAAAAAAAAAGAAAAAGTTACGAATAAAAAAAGTTACATGCACGATCATATATTAGTGACATCGTCCATTTTGTTTTCTTTACCATTTTTACTTCTGCAAAATACTTTATTAATCATATTTTTGCCGATTCTGATCAGTATTGGAAAGCAATAGAAGCTATTAGGGTGGTACAAATAGTTATTTGATCTTTTTTATGTATAACATCAATTAAATCTTAAAAGTTTATACGTATACGTAAAAGAGATAGGTAAAAGGAGAATAAGAAGATTAATTGAAAATTAATAGTATCTTATAAATCCTCCACTTTTCTACTTTCAATTTTTATCCTACTAGCTAGGAGCATTTGAAAGTGAATTTAGATGGAATGAAAAGGAGGGAAACAAATATTGATACTGTACACACATCATGGTTGTGCTCCGATAAATTTTAAAGAAATGCACTTTTATGATATAGTTTTTTTTTAAGAATTTTTTTTTCAAAGGCTACTCTTTCTATTTCTGAAAAAAGCACAAAACTTGATTTTTTTTTTTTGGATTTTTTTTTTTTTTTTTGAAAATTGTCTAATTACAATAAATTAAAAATGCATTTTAATTAAAATAGTTGTTCTTTAAAAAGGTATAAACAAAAGGCCTTATATTATAATTCTTCTCAAAGGTAAAGTGAAACATATTGGAGTTAACTACAAAAAATTACTGAGAAAGGGTAAATATGTATGGTATACTTAAATAATTCACCGATAATTAAATAATTCACCGATAATTAAATAATTATGTTACATGTTTCATACCATCGTACGTAGAGTAGCGGCAGACCTAGAACTTTTTACTATAGGGGTAAAAAAAAAATATTATAAATAAAAGTACTTACAATACAATATAACAAACATTAAAAAAATTCATTAATTTTTATTAGGTTAGAGTATTATGTCCATTTTGTTTATGTCAACTTTACGTATTTTTCTTCAATACCATTATATTAAAATCTCAATCGAACTTCACCCATTCTGAAGGATTCTACATTCAATATTAATATAATATTTTTCTATAAACACTTTTAATCTATTTGCACTAAAGCACACTTGTTTTGAGTTTTTTTTTTTTTTATTTGATATTATGCTAAATGCATTTTTCAACCTTCAATTAATTAGAAATAAAGAAACATGTAAACAGAATTGCAGGCAAAAGAAGAAATTGAATGAGATAACAAATCAAACGAAATTTTGTTGAGTCCCTAGAAAATCAAGTGAAATTATAGATTTATTACCTGTAGTACATTGTGAGTTGTGACATTTAGGGGAGAATCATGTACACGTTGTTGGAGTTGATATTTTATCTTTTTCTTTTATAGCAATTTTTTTGTTTTGTATAAATGATTCAGTATTTGATCACCAACAAGCGTCGCCTAATCTAGATTCGAAACAAGTAGGATAAAAAAAATGATAAAACTCTTTCGTACCAAGCTTTTAACAACAACGTACTTGAGGCTCGAATTAGGCTCGAATTCGAGATCATTAGCTAAGTTAGAATAACCCTTATGTTAGTTGATCAACGTGCTTGTTGATTGGGTGGGGGATAAGATTTTCTTTGATTTTTTTTAAGGGATTAACAATTAGGATTAATAGTGATTAATATTATAAAAATACCATTTTATGTATACGATATAAAAAAATCTAAATTTAAGGAGGGCGGCCGCCAACTCTAGCCCATCCTTGTGTGGTACAGAGTATACTCTTAGTGCCTGTTTGGGAGGTCCCTTTTGATTTTCTCTTCTCTTTGAAAGTAAAAGATAGGCCAAATAGATTTTTACAAAAGCTCTTATACTAAAAAATATTTTTTTTTATAATTAAGAAAAAATCAAAAGACAAAAGCTCCTAGGAAGAATTTTTTTTATGTTTTATCAGCTTCTTTTAAAATGTTTTCTATTTTTGAAATGAATAACTTTTAAGTTAAAAAATTTATATAATCATCAAATGGTTTGTAGCTTTATTTTTAAAGCACCTTATTTAGTTTTAGCTTAAAAATAACTTTTAGCTTTAAAAAAAAAAACAAAAAGTTGCCAAACAGATATAAATCTTTTTTTGTGAGGGTAAACTAATAATATTATTACTTTGCAATAAAAAAACTAATAATTAAACTGTTGATATAATGCCAAAGGTAATGTTCAACTTGTGCTCATTTTAATTAATATATTTTCATATATATACATGGGTTTACATTTCTGCAGCTGCTGTAGTGCAGCAATCAAATAATTGCCATATATATACGTTAAAGTATTAAATGCGGGGAATCATAATCATACAAAAGATGAAAATATTAAATGTAAAGAATCATAACCATACACCTGTCGTTACTGTACGTAAAGCGGCTGCAGAAATGATTTTACCATATATATATATATATATATATATATATATATATATATAGGGACAAGTTATATTTACAAACTTTTTTTGTTTACAAACTACACTATGTTCTCCCGGGAGAACACAGTATAATTTGTAAAAAAATTTCAAAAAAATTTGTGAACGGACCCTTCCCGGGAAAACATAGTGTAATTTGTAAAAAAAAATTCAAAAAAGTTTGTAAACGGATCCTTCTCCATATATATATATATATATATATATATATATATATATATATATATATATATATTACATTACATGTTTATTCATTGTTAAACTAGCTCCTATAGTTACGGAAAAAATAATTCATATTTGGTTGCAGTTTATAAATTCATGTTTAAGAACTAATTAATTCTTCTAAAAATAGTATTTTTAATACCGCCTATGCATTATTTTATATTCAAGAGCTACTATTTTTTTTTTTTTTTGGTAAGAAGAGCTACCATTTGAATTTGAAACTTGAGGATATATAAATAAGTTCTCTCAAATATCGTAATGTAATAATTTCTTTATCGAAATCTGTTGTATCTTTTACCACTCGCGAATGATAGTAAACTTTGTTAGTTAATTTTTATTTTTATTTTGTAATATGTTAATTTTCTTTTCAATAAGAAAAAATAACGACATTTTGGACATATAACATGATACATGGGGAATATGAGGTTGCATAGTTAGCACACATGTGGTGTGTATCTTTTGGCCTCAAACAAGAACAAGAAGTCAAGGGAACTAAGAATGCTTTTCAAAGACTTCAAGCTACTTGTTTTCGGCCATTTATCCAATATATTATGGCACGACACTAGACAATAACATTATATGAATAAAATAATTGAGCAAAGTTAACAAGGATCATACATATAATTGTAACATTAAGACTAGTAGTAATCAACAAAAATAATAATAAAATTATCAACAACAAAAAAATGTTGTCCGAACGGCATACTTACGACTATTGATTCAAGTAGTAAAAATTTTATTTTTCTTAATCAAGAGTTTACAAATTTGAGTTTCTCAATGGAGAAAATGGGGTTACCAAAAACTGCCCTTATGTTGATCCTACAGTGCTAAAGAAGGACTAGAAGAACAATAATCTTGAGCCTGATATTGATCAGACACAACAACCTTAGAAGTACTAGAGGGAGGCATTGCTGATAATGAGAAGAAAGGTGTTGAATCATCATCATAAAGAAAATTAAGGCTCATTGTGATGATGATAGTAAAGACCTGAAGCAGCACGTTGAAGATCATCATCATCCCTACTACAAAGCACTTGTGCGTACTGCATTAGGTTTGGAAATCCTTCCTCTGATGAATAAGATAAGGGAAGAGGTTGACCAACCGGTGGTGGAACCTCATCAAGTGGTGGTGCAGGAATAGAATGTGTAGAAGCTGAAGCATTATTAGTTGATGAATCCACTTCCATAGTAACTAGTTCAGGAAAATTGAGCTTGGCCTTGTTTCCTTTGAACTTCAATGCTGCAGCATCATAAGCAATAGCTGCAGCCTCTGCCGTGTCAAATGTGCCAAGCCACACTCTAGCTGCCTTTTTAGGGTCTCTTATTTCGGCTGCCCATTTTCCCCATGGTCTCTGTCTAACACCTCTATAATGTCTCTTTCTTGCATTGCCTTAAAATTGTTGAAATTATAGAGATGTAGATATAGAGGGAGGAAGAATATGAAGAGAATAATAGACGGAACAATATTATATATTGAAAGGAAGATTAACTTATATAATAAATTTTTTTACATCTAATTGGTGATTATTGATTCAGTTACATCTAACCGTTCATATATTTAATAAGAATTAATAATTAAAATTGAAAGTGTAATTTATATACATGTAAAATAATCATTAATATTGATTTAAGTGATAAAGAGTTTGTTCCCTTTAATCAGAGATTTCGAGTTCGAGTAATAAATCATCAAATATTACGAGATGGAAAAACTAATCCTAAGAGAAAATTAGAGGCTTCTGGTTAGTTCATTTTAGTCCAAGTTGTCATTTGTAAACACAAGGTTTCAAAATAGTGTGCGGAAAGTAGAGAAGCCAATGGAAAATGCACACTGAAAATACCAAATCAGTTGTTGTTGCTGTAAATGTCAACATCATCCCAAGATAGGCTCAACAAGCCTGGGATGGTACATAAGAACCAATAATGATAATATTGAGGGTAGATAATGGAAATGTCATTTAAACTCGGATTGGCAGATCAAGAAATATAAAAATCCATATGCAACAAATGCACATTTTTTTGCGAAGAAAAAGAAAACATAGGATAATAGAAAATTTTGGTTGATTTTCTTTACTTTTCAATAAGAGGGAAGGTATATCACGTTTGTTGCACTTAGGTAATTGGTGAAAATATCTATATGAATATGTTAGAAACACACTGGGAAAACCTTTATTCAGACATGTCTTCATATAAGTAGAGTATACTATTCACAAACAATTAAAAATAAATTGATGAGATCCTGATTCATGATAATTGAGAATACTTTATAACAACATCATTGGTAATATAAATTAAGAATAGAAATTTAGGGAATGAAATGAGCCTTGTAATAGTGTTTACCTTGAGGTATAGGCTGAGATGATTCTTCCCTCTCAATAAATTCAGAAGTGTTTATCTGCCCATGTGAGGTTGGGAAGATGGTGCTATTGTTGGTACTCATAAGATGTGAAAAGGGTGATGGTGAAGCTTCTTCCTTTTGATTCTCAGATGGTGTTTGGTGAACAAGAAAGTTAAAAGCTACCCTTTTCTCCTCTGATACATGATCAGAAGGAAGAGGCCTCTTCCCTTGTCTTGGATCCACTTTGCTCAACTCTATCTAACTGATTTTCTACTCTTATATTTTATACACTTTTTCTACCTCAGGTTATATAAGCTTGCCGATGAGGTGCTACCAAAACCTTGATATAAAAGCAGATCTAGGATTTCTATAATAAGAAGATCAGTGATTTGAAGATGAATGAAACCAAGATCAAAAATGGGGATTCTGTTTGCTTGTCATCTTTTAAATAAAAAAGATAATTGAAAAAAAAAAATAAAAAAAAAATAAAAAAAAAATGAAAGAAAAGAACAAGATAACATGTGCTTGCTTGGAGGGCTTCCATTGCTACACGTTAAAGTCAAGTTTGTCCCTCGGAGATTTTTTGGGTGCCCAAAATAATTAAAAAAGAAATGAAGTTTCTTTATATGTTAAGTTTATATTGTGCAGATTATAATAGAATATTATAATAAGGGACAACCCAGTTAGGGAAAAGTAGGTTTGGTGTGTATAGGTTTTACACGTGTCTGCTTATGTGATGAGAGTGACTTTCTTGATATTCTACTTTGTTGGGATTATTTTGTCTGTATTTACTTGTTTAGAGCGCAGAAAGAGGTATGAGGTATAATACATTCAATTTATATCTATTTTTGTTTTCTGGATAGTTCTATCGAAATTTTTTAATATGATCGACGATTACTATGGTCTTTTCATTAATTTTTTTTTTTTTTCCTTCTCTCTCTTTTCTTCTCAATCTTTTTTCTCTTTCTCTTACTTTAGTCCTATCAAAATATTTTTGCACCCAAAACACATTAACTTCGCTCTTAGTTTTGTTTTGGGTGCAAAAATGGTATTTGTTTTGGGTGCAAATGGTATTTGTTTTGATCCTTAGTTTGCATCAGCTCGGACACATGCAGAATACAATTATATGTATTTTTGAATTGTATTTTATTTCAATATTAAAAATATAACTTTCTCGGTCACTTGTCTTATTAATAGTTTAAAAAAAATTGAGCACATACTTTGTTGATATAAGAGGCATTAAGAGTTCCCACTCCTTGATTAAGAAAAATAAAAAAGTCATGTGGAAAATTATGCGAGAGGTTATTATAGCGCATTTAAATGCGCTAAAGGCTGTCATGTTGAACCATCCAAAATATAAATTAATTATGAGTATAAAAAAGTCATAACAAAAAAATAAAATAAGGAAAGACGTAATTTTCACTCAAAATCAATGATACATTTATAATCAAACACAAATCAACTTATTTAAATTCAAATATCTCTATTTAGAATCAAGTCAACCTCCAAATAATTCACGCTCTTTCATCACCGCAAAATAATTTAACTATATTAATCACCATGCCAAATCGCTACACAAATTTCATTTATAGCAACCCATCAAGTCCTCCTCTTCCATCATTATTTGGTACAATATTTGAAAAGTTGGTCATGGAGTCTAGTATAGGGGACTTTAGAAAATTGATAATAGTGAAATGCTCTATTTTTTTGGAATACAATAGTGAAATGCTCTTTAACAAAGTGTAGTCTTATTTGCTATTCACTGTAATGGTCAAAATGTTAATGAAATAATTAATTGTGAGTGAATTTGTGGTGGCGATAGAGCCCATTATTAATGGTTAGAGAAAATAGTTTATTAGCAAGTGAGAAGAGGAAAATGTGACACGTACGTACTAAAGAGGAGAGCCATTTGAATTTGAACAAACTGACTAAAACTTAGGTATAAAAATAAGGCTTTTTTTTCTTTTGTTCCTCGTTAATTATTTAATAATTATTTTGTCCTTTATTGCAAACTATCTACCAATCTGTCCCTCTTTAATCGATTAAGCCAAAAATTTAATTGATTAAATGGTCAAATGAAGATTTAATCGATTAAATCTTCAACTTAATCGATTAAATCTTTCTCTTTATCAGAAGAACAACCTTATGCATGGGAGATTTAATCGATTAAATAGGGAGATTTAATCGACTAAATCTCCAAGTCAACGATTTTTGCCTATTTTTACCATTTGATCGATTAAATTTTTGGCTTAATCGATTAAAGAATGGAATTGATAGATAGTTCTGAATAAGGGGCAAAATAGTTATTAAATAATTAATGAGGGGCAAAATGGTGAAAAAGTCATAAAAATAAACCATTAACTAAAAGTGGAATAATTCAAAAAAACAAACTTAAAGTTGATTGTACTTTTGCTTTCACAATTAATCGGTATTTCGGGATGGTAAATGTTTATAGCCAATATTATTAAATTCAGCTCGATTATTTACCCAAACGTCGAACGAGGTATTGGAATACTGGATTATTGATTTAATCAGTGAGTCACTAGTTTAAACGCATGACTCGATAAATGTATGTAAATCTATAATTTATATTAAAAAAACTATAAATATACTCAAATACCTATAAAAAAATAATACCAATTCCAAAATTTTTAATATGAAAAATAATAAATTACACATTATTATCCAACAAAAGATCAATCAAATATATAATACTTGTGATACTGATGCTTTAGGTTCAGTAGGCGACATTTTTAACTATAAATCAAAATTTCATGCATATTGCATAACCAAGATAATATTAATGTTATAGATACTTAACCTATATAAGTTATAAACAATAGATCACTCAAATATTTTAAAAGAAAACAAACCATTTGTGTGTGAGAGTGAAAAAAGAAAGGCATCAATTGATGAGAATAAACCATGTTTTTTTTATGAACCTGGCTGGGTCACCGGTTTTTACAAAAATCGATCGGGTCAAACCGTTTGCATTACATGTATAACACCTCACATATTTAAAATGCATATTAATAATTAAATTAAGGGTTAGAAAGGATGTTTAGTGAAAATCCTAAGTTCTGGGTCAGAATACGTACGAAGGGTAAAATGGTAAATCAACAAATATGTAACCCTAAATTGCAAAATGATAGAATTAGGCCTCAAATGATGAAAATAATACTGAAAATGGATTCAGAACAAAAAATTGAGTGATTAGGCAAGTTTCTCTAAAATTGATGAATATTATTTTTATCGAATGAAATTTTGTGATACAATTGCACCGAAAAACGTGCAAATTGAGATTAGTGCTCTAGGATGAAATATATGTTGGAAAATGTACTTAGAACCAAGAAATATGATTATTGGTACAATTTGATGGATTTTAGCATTTTTAGGGAAATGTGCCAACGATGCACCAATGGGGGTAAAATAGTAATTTCACGAAATTACCAAAAAACTCCGGATTCATCAGTTCAAGGGTAATTAAAGGACTTTGGTGAATGTTAAATTTTTATTTAATGGATAGTTCATGAATTAATTGGAGATTAGTGTGTTAAGTGGGTGATTTAAAATGAGTGAGGTGGCATGTGGGACCCACCCTACTTCAACTAACTTAAGACCATATGGTCTTACATTATTCACCATCTTCCTCACCTCCTCTCTCTCTCTCTCTCACTCTCTCTCTAAAACCCGAGCTGTAACATCCCGTAGTACTCCGCTTGTTAACATAGATGATATTTAGCGTACACAGCGGAAGACTTTATTTTATTAAATATAAAATCGTCTCTTAAAAATATGAGTTAACTTTTTCCAAAACGTTTTGTAAAAACATTTCCAAAATCGTTCACATGAGATATTGCGTAAGCGTAAATCTAAAACATACAACTACTAACTAATCCCATTAGCCATTATTAGTGGTCATTGGCTAACCGGATATGACAATAAGTGACATTCCTGCCAGAGTCTCACAGACAACATAACGGCTGTTTAATGGATAACTGGGAGATAAAAATCTCACTCCATAATATAATCCTGATAGACACAGTTTATACAATCAGACATCTCATAAATCTCACACAGACTGTAATCCCCTCAATGAGTCAATATATACATAAATGCTTCATGTCTAAAACTAAACATCAATTACAACATGTTCATATACGCAACACATACAACTAAACAAATACTTAATTCTCTATAAGCTCATCAAATACAAGTCATGAGCATTATTACACAATTAACATAATCTCAAAATACATAACTATAGCATGATCATAGCTAAACATGCTATCAAATAAATATCCACTAGCACTCCACTAGCCACGTGTCTGGTCCTTGTCCATGGAGGGCTCACCACTATGGTAGGTACCTGAAATGATGTCCCAAGAAGGGGTGAGATAACAATAATCTCAGTAAGCTCAAGGTTTATAGATAATCCTCTATTCCGTTGAACTCACTTCCTGCATGACAAGTCAGAGATATAAAGCACATATATAATCATACAGCATAAACATAGCAACATGTCTGATCCTGATTAGCTATTCTAGGACTCGTCCTCGAATAGCCAACACCTGGCATGTCCAACATGCTAGTGCGCAATAACCCCCAGAGTCCAATCATAGGCAGTCTATATAACATGTAACAGCCCGTTGTACACCGGTATTGTTAACATTAATTATTGTCCTTTAATTTCCCTTGATCAGATGAATCCGGGGTTTTCCGATCGTTCGGAGAAATTGCAGTTTTAAGCTGTTACGCGCGCCGTAGGCACGCTTCCCCAAACTCACTAATTTCTGTCAATTTTCATCAGAAATAATATTCCCTAATCCTATATACCATTTATAACTTGTATCCAAACCTAGAGCTCAAAATTCAATCAGCATGTTTTACGGTGCAACTGTACTGCGGTATTTTTACCCGGTAAAAACACTATTCATCGAATTTTCATAAACTTACCTAACCACTCAATTTTTTGTTCTGAATCCATTTCCAGGATTATTTTTATCATTTGAGGCCTCCTTCTCAATTTTACCTTCCTAGGGTTACGTGTTTGGCTAATTACCGTTTTACCCTTCCTTTGTATTTTGACCTAATTTCCAGGATTTTCACTAATCCTTCCCTTTAATCCATATTTAATATATTAATATATGTTTTAGAATTGTGAGGTGTTATATTCACCCAACCTTTTTGAAATTTTGTCCGCAAAATTAAATCATACCTGTTCGCTAACTCAGGATACAGCCGGAGAATCTCATCCTCCCGTTCCCAAGTAGCCTTCTCTGGTGTACGTCCTTCCCATTGAATCTTTAGCATTGGAATATTTTTTACTTCTCAGCCTTTTTTCACTACGATCAAGGACGTCAATAGGACCTACAGGAGTCTTCAAATTTTCCC